ATTTAATAACGATAAAGGTAGCTAACTTGTTAAAATAAATATAGTTAATATCAGTTGGACCTGATTAATATAGGAATAATGATTGTAAAAAAAAAACAGTACACATCACCTTTGCATATGCATATTTATGTCGCTTGTTTATGCGAGACAATCAACTTCCTAGTTCCGCGCTCAAGGATGAACATATTCGTTACGCATTTTTATTTATTATTGTCATTTAAATTTAAAATTCACTAGTAGAGTTTTCACTTAAATTCACTTTAGTTGTTGCAAGTAAGGAATATTCTATCGATCTCAACTTAAATGGCTTACTATTCGGCAAAGGCGGCGGGCGGAATTTTGCTTGTGCTTTTCTCCATTTTAATTGATTGTTCCTGAAATGAAAAAAATTATAATTTAATAAATGACTTGTATCTAATTACAATATTATTTTCATATATATTCCCTTTAATTTAAATTTTATTATTCTTGCATCTTTTGCCGCACCTACCATAAACTCTCACCACATCCTGGGTTGACTGGTAGAGAATGCCTTTGGGCATTAAGTCCGCCCTATGTTACCTTGTTTTACTGAAGGTTGTCAATAAAGATTAAATACATAAATAAATAAATAAATCTTGACAGCTCACGTGCAAGGTTCCCGTTCTCAACGTTCCATCGTTCCCGAGTGACACGTGGGTTTTTATCCCAATGTCACTCGGTAACTCCCACATAACCGTAACGCCTACCCACAAGACGGCGGGGATCCATAAAGGATTTTTCCCACTCAAAAAAAAAGGGAATGAATCTTGAAGATGTGAAGACTTTAGACATTTTGAAACAAGCGAATCCGCATCAAAGAACCAATCGTAGTTAAATGTTTCAACTGATCAACTCGTCAACCAACGTCTGCACTCACGCAGTGTTGTCGGTTGACCCCATACGGATAAAATTCTGGATCTGTGCGAATTTTGTGTCTGAGATTGAACATGTCATCCGCGCGTAAAAGATTCTTCCCCACCACCACCCGTAGGGTTGCAGATGCGATGCCTCTTAATAAACTCGGCCCTGGCTACCCCACTCACCAGACGAAACGCAGAAGTGTGACACTAACGGTGGTAGGGCCACGCAGCAGCCTCAGCTGTTGTACGAATGGGCAGACTCGTCCGTGTAAGTACCCCAACCTCACAGAATACCGGTGTAAAGTGGAAGCATGACAAATACTTTCGCGTTTCATCTGGTGACTGAGGTAGCCGGGGCCCAATTTTCAAAAGGTTGTCAACGCATCTGTAAACCCTCGGGTGTAGCTTAGGTCCATTAACATCAGGTGAACCACCAGCTCGCTTGTTCAACTTTTTACGTAAACAAAAACAACCACTTCACGCCGGTCTTCTGTGAGGTCTTAGTAATTACAGCTTTGGCTAATGGGCGGGCCATTAGCCAAAGCTGTTGAGCGGCCCTATTAGTATACCGTATTAAACCCGTATCTAGAGAATTAGTTCTCTTCCAATTTGAAGTATAACAATACTAACGATAATATATATATATATATATATATATATATATATTATATAAAGAGATAAATAAAGAGCAAATAACAAACATCGGGATTATTTAGAGAAGATATAAATAAATGTTTAACCACAAAGTCGAAAAAACCGGTCGCACTATTCGCATATTCTGAAAAACACGAAACAATAAAACAAACAGTTGATAATAAAATAAACCCGTTACGGCCGTCGATAAGTCGAAATGTCAGAGCTCCAATAGACCACTCGGTGGCGAACAAGCAATAAATTTAACAAGGATGCCGTTCGACCAATCAGCGGTGCCGGAATAAGGTCAGATCGCTTCATGAGTTCTGTACAGCGCGAGTCGTGAACATTGTGAGAGTCGATTCACGGACAGAGTTCCGTGGTTTTTTCATCAGCGCGTCCGTTTGGAAAACACGTACACTTACGTGACATAGGAAAAGGGTGCGTTGTAAGAAAGATGAGCTGTTTATGTATGTTAACGTCCTTAAAACATGGAATATTGTTATTCTACAGTAAGGGGCAGTTTTTATAAAGAAAGAAACGTGAAACGAAACAAAATTATTTAAGTATAGTCAAATGTCTCAATCAATCAATCAGTTTTTTTTTTAATTTATTGCAGTCCACTGCTGGCTATGGGCCTTCCACAGTGCACGATTTTGCGCTCTCCTTATCCAGCCACTAACAGCGACCCTTAGTAGGTCATGTGTCCTTTTTCATTTCACTGTTGTAATAAAAACCAATAACCTCGGGTAAAAATGCACAATTTAATCCAGGCTTGTCGATATTATTCCACAATTTGTTCTTTCTATTTAACTAACTTAGCTATAAAAAAGTAAAGTAACAGCCTATACATGTCCCACTGCTGGGCAAAGGCCTCCTCTATAGAGAGGGTATCAGGGCATAGTCCACCACGCGACCCCACTGCGTATTGGCGGACTTCACATATCTACGAAATATATTTTTTTTGTTATTATTTCGAAAATATGCAGGTTTCCTGACGATGTTTTCCTTTACCGCGGAGCACGTGATAAGTTAACACTTAAAGGTAAAAAACTTCATTGGTGCCGGCACCGGGGATCGAACTCAGGTTGCTCGAGTATATTGAACTAAAGGCGAGCGTCCGGACACTGAGCTATCACGGCTCTTTAACTTAGCTATGTAGACTATAATTAATTATTAATATTAGATGTTTACAGTTCCAAGTCTCGAACCCAACAGGACAGGCTCACTTTAATGCCATATATCTCGAAGCGCCACAATCATAGCGGACATCTCATCTGTAATTAGTTGGACCTAAGATATTGACCAATCAGAACTAAAGTTTAGTCACTTGACAAGATTTAAATTATTACTTCATTTATAGCTGTGAATCAATATATATATATATATATATATAAATGAATCCCTATTTCCCTTGGTTAATCCGATTTCACTTTTTTTTGTTGTGTTTGTTATTATCAGGAGAAGGTTCTTATGAAAGAAAAATTTTAAAAAATACCTGAAAAAATCTAAAAACAACACTTTTCTATATTCCCATACAAAAGATTCGTAATAATACTTAAAAGTCAATTTGAACTTTAATACCATACCATAAAGTCTAAGTGTAGTGGAGGGGTTCCGGGAAGGCAAAACAAGTGAGTGACTGTGGTAAAATTTCACTTGAAATGTAAACGTCTATTTTCTGTGCATCACTACATAGTATAAAACAAAGTCTTCCCGCTGTCTGTCTGACCCTATGTATGCTTACATCTTTAAAACTACACAACGGATCTTGATGCGGTTTTTTTTTTTTACTATATCGAGTTGATTCAAGAGGAAGGTTCATATGTATAATATATTGCACCCGTGCGAAGCCGGGGAGGGTCGCTAGTACCTTATATAAGAATATTAAATTATAATACAAATTTAAAAAAATCATAACATTATATAATAATATAAATGATTTTGAAAATGACATAGCAGAACAATCTGGATACAGTGGTTAGTTTAGATGTTAATTAATATCGGTCGCTTTGCAAACAACTTCATAATGTCGCTCATTTTTTTTTCTCAAAACGCGCCGAATGAAGTATAACTTCAAAAATACAACATTTTAGTTTATCTTCTTAAGTTAAAATGACTTTAGTTCAAATTTGAAACAAAAGACATGTTACCATGTTACCGTGATAACATTACACATTAAACTTATGGTGATTGGCAAATATACAATATTCTAAAACGTTTCAAAACCTGTTCTTCTTCTTAATCGGACACTCTTGGCAGAATGGTCGTGGCTGTCGATGGACAGGATTGCGTCTCGTCGTCGCTGTTCGCTTCCAGGGCAGCCGCACGTCTTGCGATGTTCCTCCATTGGAGGCGGCTGTTAGCAATGCGAGCACATTGTACTGCGGTGGCGTTCGTAGTGCTGGTGATGAGGTCAATCCAGCGCGTGGGGCTCGATCTCGAGGTCTTTTGCCTTCTACACGGCCTTGAATGACAAGTCTCTCCATAGAATCTTCCTTTCTAGAGACGTGCCCAAAGAACTTGAGAATTCGTAGTTGGACAGTCGACGAAAGTCTATTTTAAAAACTTGTTATCACCCATTTATTGACATGATTCATGTAATGTTTGCATTACGAAAAATCTTGTCCAAAACTTTGCGTTTCTATTTTAGTATACGCTGCCCAGAACGTGGGTACCATCCGCATCATGGAGTATCTCTTGGTTAAACCTTATCTTTTATAGCAGTCAAAGCCTATTCGGCTCGCCTTCGTATACCGACTTCACGACTTCATGCTACCCTGGTACCTGTCAATCGAACACCGCAGTACGGTCAAGGCAAACCGGCCGTTACGTGTAACCCGCTTGTCTACTCAACATATAACAGATTATAACATCGCACGTAATTACCGTTATCACGATTAGGAAACCTCGGATATTATAATTATGAAGTGTTTCAAATACATTAAATGTAGATAGAACTTTCTCAGAATTGCGTGAACATTGACAATTACATTATTAGATGGTAATTTTATTTTATCTCGATTTCTAAAAAAAAACTGCGGATTTTATCGTGATTTCTTTCTTATTCTAAATACTTTACATCATCACCAAGTCACAGACTTTGCTGAGGTATCAAGCGTCCTAGTATGATTATTAACTCTTGCTACCGTTATCTAAAAACTTCACTAATGAAGAACTATTTCTTTTTTCCTTTAGGAATTTTTATTCAAATATTTATATACCGACGTATTTACCCATTTATTAATGAGGCGGTAGGTGAATAAAAAGTACAGACGTGTTTTTCATAGCTCTTTATATTTTAATTAAATATTGTTGCGATTATTAGTCTGTTTATAGCTCATATTAGTTCTATTAAGTTTATATAAGTGTTACTTACAATAATAGTGCATTATATGTAACAACTACAAAGAATAATCACCACCTGCCAGCTCATCACTAGCACTACACTTTTAATTAAACAATCACAAAACATCTTGCATCAATATGTCAAATTTGTCAGAGATAATCAACACCCAAAACAAGCTTGAAGAAAGTATCTCGAAGAGATTTGATGATCTCCAAGCTCAAATCACTAATGCCGGGTCCTCAAAAGATACGGTAGCGAAGGTTGCTGAAGAGCTCCGGAACTTCAGGGAGCTAATTTTTGGCATTCTCAGTCTTCTTCCCCAACAAATAAGTGAGTGTGCCAAGCAAGTGGATGACATTGACACAAGGAGCCGCAGGAAAGCCCTTATTGTAACAGGTTTACCTGAGAAGAACAATAAAGATTGCACCAATTACTTCTCGAGGTGTTCAATAAAAAGTTGGGGCTCAACGACATGTCCAAGTCATCCTTCAAGGTGTGTCATCGACTAGGTGCACCCAGTAAAGAGCACCACCGACCCGTCTTGGTCAGGTTCACCAGCATGGACTCTAGAATGTTTGTTTGGAAGGCTAAAACAAAGCTGAAGGGCTCCCCAATAGCCCTGAAGGAGTTCTTGACGAGAGTAAGGCAAGCAGTCTTCACCAAAGCTCGTCTTCATTTCGGAATGCGCTCTGTCTGGACACAGAGTGGTGTTATATTCATTAAAACTGCTTGCGGGAGTAACTATAAAGTCACCACAGAAGAAGAGCTGGTCCCTCTCATCGTCAAGTACCCGAAGTCACTGGGCAAGTCTTCTTCAAAGGATAACAACTCGGGTAGTAGATCTTAAAAAAAAAAAAAGAAAAAAAGTTTTTACCACAAAGTTAAAGTTTTTTTCTCCTTTTTTTTGCTCTTATTATGTTTACGTTTATTCCTTGTACTTAGTACATTAGTATTATAACTTTAATTATTTACGTAAACTTACCTATTCTAACTTAATATTGTTTTTAGTGCGACATATTAGACACTTAGGTTCATTTAATGTGTAGCTTGGTAGTTTTTGTTTTTTTTTAATCAATTTTTCCTCGTTATTATGGTTCCTGTTTTAGTCATATTTTATAAACTTTATTTTTTGTTTTTTACTAATTTTGTCTTTATATGTTAACTAGTGTAGGTAATTATAAATCACATATTTTCTTCCTATTGCTTTGTTTGACGTACGCTTGTATTCCGTTTGACGTTCATTCATGTATTACGTTTTTTTTTTGACGTTCATTCATGTCATTGTCGCTTAAACAATAACATTGTATGACGTTTTGAATGCGTTCCGTTTCACTAGTTTCCGTAATTAAGGAGTTCTCATTTATTTTAATATTTTTAAAGTTAAATTTTTTTTATATAACTGTGCTTTGTTTAATATTTCTTCCGATTTGGTGTTTTTTGGCATTGTTATCATTCGTGCTTGTGCGCTGGCGGGTGGTGCAGAGATTGATCTTGCTCCATCAAACATTGCAGTTTTTATTGCATTACTTTAAGTAGTTATTATTTTTTTTATTACTAAATTATTTAACTATCCGTATATTATATATATTTTATTATGTCTATTGATTCTGACGATGACTGGTATTATTCTGCCAACGAATCTGTTACTTCTATTGCCGATGAGAGTTTTGACTCATCATGCGGCTCACTTAAAGACTTTTTAAATGATAAATTTTCGTTAAATCACTGTAACTTTCTAAACATTTGTCACATAAATGCGCAAAGTATTCCCAGCCACTTTAGCGATTTGTGTGATGCGTTCTCTGAATGTAACATGCATGCCATCCTGATTTCTGAGAGCTGGCTCAAACCTCATCTTCATTCTACCATGTATCCCCTTCCTGGTTTTATTCTTCTACGAAATGACCGGATAAGTAAAGGGGGAGGGGGCGTTGCCATATATCTGAGAGGTAACCTCTCGTATAAGGTACTGGCCTCCTCATCCCAGAACTACACCGCTTCTGCCGAGTTTCTTTTTCTGGAGACTGTGTGCTAAGATTGTTATAGCTGTTGTTTACTGTCCCCCAAATGCAGATTATTTCACCGACTTTGAATTGGTTCTTGAATCTTTGGGTTCTGCGTATGCTCACCACGTCATCATGGGAGATTTTAATACCAATCTCCTGGCACCTAATTCTCCTCGTACCCTTAAACTCCTTCACATAGTTGAGTCAAGCTGTTTTCATATTTTACCTCTCCAAGCTACCCACCGTAATGTCTCCGGTGAAGACACTTGGCTTGACCTGATCCTCTCTTCCAATCCTTCCATGGTTTCCTTTCATGGACAACATCCAGCGATTGGATTTTCCCATCATGACTTAATTTTCCTGTCTTACATCCTAAAGCCTCCTAAACCTAAGCCTAAGGTTTTGCACGTGCGTTCGTTCGCGAGAATGGACATTGAGAAACTTTGCAAGGATGCGGATAAAATAGATTGGAAATCTTTGGTGGGGGCCAACACAATAGATAGTAAGGTATACTTTCTTAACACGTCAATAACAAATTTGTATGATGTTCACGCGCCTCATAAGAAAATTAAATTAAGGCACACTCCTGCACCTTGGATGACGGAGGGTATACGGATGGCTATGAGACGCAGGGATCGAGCCTTTCGTAAATTCAAAAAACAACGTTCTGAAGAGAATTGGTCCCTCTACAAGTTAGCCAGAAATCGGTGTAATCAGATGGTACACAACGCTAAACGCCGTCACATCCTCGATAATATTTCTTCATCTACACCTGCCGATATCTGGAAGTTCCTTGGGACTCTTGGTATCGGTAAGTCGCGTTTTCCAAACCTTACTACCTCAATCAAATTACATGATTTAAATCAACATTTCTCTACCACTTCATCGATAGATCATCTAACGATTAATAAGACGATTTCCTATATAAATGGTTTGACGCGCCCTGATATTGGTTCGTTTAATTTTTCTCCAGTTTCTTCCGAAGAAATCAAAAAAACTATCCTTTCTATCAAATCCAATGCTCTTGGCTGCGATAAAATCGGCCGACGCATGATAGTCCCTATCCTTGATCAGCTTCTCCCTGCGATTACTCATATCATACATTTTTCATTGGATACTGGATCCTTTCCTTCCTTGTGGTATAACGCTCTTGTGCATCCACTGCCGAAATGCCCTAATCCTTCACTTCTCGCTCATTATCGACCTATCTCTATACTACCCTTCCTTTCTAAGGTGCTTGAGTCCTGCGTTCTCAAGCAATTTTCTCTCTTTGTTCTTAGTAATAAATTGATAAGTCCTTTACAATCTGGATTTAGACCTGGCCACAGTACCACCACAGCCCTCCTTAAAGTGACTGGCGATATTAGGACAGGTATGGAAAATGCAGAAGTTACTGTCATGGTTTTAATAGATTTTTCGAATGCCTTTAATGCCGTCAGTCACGACATCCTATTATCAATCCTGTCTTATTTAATGGTTTCCGAGGAAGCACTGGAATGGTTTTCATCATATCTTCGAGGGCGCCAGCAGGCAGTCACTATTGATGTATTGTCATCTAGCTGGCTCAATCTTGAAAGTGGTGTCCCTCAAGGCGGTATTGTCTCTCCTATTTTATTTTCTGTTTTTATTAATTTCATTACTCTCGAACTTCAATGTGCGTATCATCTTTACGCCGATGATCTGCAGCTGTACGCTCAGGCCACCACTGATAGGCTCCCAGAAATAATCAATATTATAAACCAGGACTTAGCCGCTATTAAAAAGTGGTCAGACAGGTTTGGTTTAACCGTGAATCCAGCCAAGTGTCAAGCCACCGTAGTCGGGAGCTCCCGTATCATAGGTAAAGTGGATCTGAGTAAACTCCCGCATATAACTTTCAACAGTTCTCGCATACCTATCAGTCGTAATGTGAAAAATCTCGGCTTGCACATTGACATGACGCTCAGCTGGAATGCTCAGGTAGGTAGCGTCTGTCAAAAAGTCTCAGGGGTCCTACGGTGTCTTATCGGCTCAAAAATTTCTTGCCGGCTAAAACGAAGGAATTGCTCGTGCAGGCCTTAATTTTCTCATTAATCGACTATGGTGACGTGTGCTACTTCGACCTGAATGCAGATCAACTTAATAAACTCGACCGACTTCTGAATAACTGCATTCGATTCGTTTTCAATCTTCGCAAGTATGACCATGTGTATCTACTTACCGTGCTCAACTTCAGTGGCTACCCATACGTCAACGACGCTCTCTAAGAGCACTGACTACTCTATACTCTTTCCTGAACTCTTCTTCTTTTCCGGCTTACTTATCCCATCATTTCCAATATCTATGTGCCGTTAGCAATAAAAACCTTCGCTCCTCGCATAATCGTCTTTCTCGTATGTCCTCCTCACCGTTCTGATTTCATGCATTCTTCCTTCTTTATCCAGTCTATCCTTCTGTGGAATGAGCTACCTCTCAAAATAAGGTTGGCTAAAAGTCGCTTTGTTTTTAAAAAAAAAGCACGTGAGCACATCCTCAAAAACTTGTCGGCAGGTCAACTCCATCGTTAATTGTCAGAATTTATTTATGTATATGTATATATGTATTTATAATTGTATGTATACATTTATTTATGTATGTATATATGATTTTATGCATATATTTAGTAAGATATTTATGTATTAGTATGTATGTACATACACCTGGTAGTATTTATTATATATATACTATAATTAACATGTGTATATACTTTCATTTACAACAGTTTATATTTTAACAGTGTTTTCTTTTCATTTATTTCTTTTGACATCTTTCTGTGCACCTACCGAATCTTCTCTGTACCACCCCAAGGTTGACTGGGAGATAATGCCTGTGGCATTAAGTCCGCCTCTGTACAGCTTGTGCATAAAGTATAAATAAATAATTAAATAAATGATTTAAGAGTCACATAATGTAGAAGGCTTTTCTAATTGAAATGTTCCAAATATGATTAAGTTCTATAAAGTCTTTTTTGTTTTTTCTTCACGCCAGTCTTCTGAAAGGCCGTGGTATTCCGACGGATGAGCCTGTCAATTTATGCAACACCGGAAGTAATTGCTTGGCCCTACCACAGTAACAAACGTATCAAGATAATTTTCCTGAATCTTCATTTCTTGTAAAACCTCTTTTCTTAGCAAAGAGAAGGTATTCTGATAAAAAAGCATTGAAAAAGCCCCTTATTTTTATACAGTACGGCTTACAATACAATGAGGAAGCAGTTTTTAGGTCGAATAATTGGCATATTTGTTAATTAACAAAATGGTCTACATGATAACTTTCCGTAAAAGCTCAGAGCGGCATAACCAGGTATCATTTACAATGGGGCAACGCGGAAATCGAAATATATGTCGACAAGGTGAAATGAATGCCAGAAAGCGACAGTTTACAAAAACTCTTTCCCCGTGAGACAGCAAGGTGAACTTGTCCAAAGCATAATGGGTCAACGGACCTTGCGGCGCCAATTTTGGGCGTCCGCCATTTTGGAAAAAACTCGAGTAACCGCCTTATTCAGCGCCCGCCTCCGCCCCTCGCGCTGACACAATGTTTAAAAATATTTTCGAACACATAACACTGTGTTCTTCGCTGTTGTTTTAATTAGCGAGGACGCGGGTGAGTCATCCAGGCTGTCCGTACATTGCATATCCTCTCATTTCTATTTTAAATTACCGTTAATGTTGAATACGGTTTAGTTTATTCCATCATTCGTGGCGTTTTATACCCAGATCCGAAATGTCTATTCATAGATCACTAGTATTAATAATTAATAGGACTTTATGCCCAGCTCTAGGATAATTACTGCCCCAGAGCTCGGCAGCTGTGGGAA